GGGAGATGGTGGGGGGGGTGGGGGGGTCAGGATTTTTCTGCTCCAGTATTGGAGCATCATAAGTCATCTTAGTGTAAAACAACGCAGCTTCCTTCAATCCATTTAGCATTCATTTTTCAACAGCTAAGAATAACCAGCTAAACATTATTTCACTCTAACGCTATCATGGAATATGCATGCCATCCCATTTCATCTGCTAATCACAGCATGGTCAATGAACCAAAGCTTCCTCTGCTATCAGGAGCAGCTCTCTCACTCCTCAGCTCTGTGTGCCTCACGTTAGCTCACAGTCATCACTATGCTACATTTATTTGTATTTTTTTATACGTACAATGTCAGGCAGTTCCTTAAATTTCAATACCTACATGTATGGAAACTATGGAGAGTACTATGCAAAAGTCAGAGACCACCCTTTATTTATTTCACTCCCAGTCAAAATGACTATTAAGTACACATTAGTTGTTTTTCAGGATCAGGACAAAAGCAGAAAACATTTATATTAAAAAGAAAATGACATACAAACACTACCAACCTTGTTGTGTATGAAGTGTCTTGAATTTTGCATCTTGACACATTAGAGTTGAGCTTTATCTACCTCTGTAATGGTATTCAAATAAACAAACTGATCCGGTAAGACCACCAAATGTAACTTCGTAATAATATTCGCTCCTCAGGCATGCCAGCATTTCCAAAATCCAAGATACAAGTAGCTACCAAAAAACAACTTGAGTAGGAGTAAAAAGGCATAAGGTTAAAAAAACACTCTTTCAGTACTGAGATCCCTGTAGAACTGGAGTGGAACTTCTGAGGCCATCCGGCCTCTATCAGCACAGGAATTGAAGTTCTTTAGGCACTATACTTTGCCTTTTTGGAATCTTTTTGATCTGAAATAGAATGGTAAAATCTCAAACTTGAGATGTGTGAGCATCAGCAAAGCAGTCCAAATACTGAACCAACAGAACAGAATGAAGTTACACACAAAAAGAGAAATGGTGGTAAAAGTAGACCTGTGTTTGAAATAGATACCTTTCCTCACAAATATGGTATTATCAAGTGAAAATGCCCAGATGAATAAAAACAACAAAGAAAAGCACAAATCCATCAAATTTGTTCTAAAGTTCCTAGACCTGGGTGACTAGTTATTGGTCATAGCTGAAGATAACAACGGGTTACATTGACAAAAACGAGGGCAACGTTTGGTGAAGCTGGTGGCTGTTTGGTTTGGACAGCCCTGTGGAAAGGGGTGCAGTGGGTGGTCAGGAGCGACAGAGACAAATGACAGAACAGTGAAGGACGAGAAGAGCTCAGATAACACACACCAGCCCATGGGTTTACAACACATGCTTTTGGACGATACCACACACATTTGAGCAACACAAAACACTTCCAGTATCTCCATCTTACTAACCCTTATAATTCTCCACTCTCAGAAAATAAAACTGTACCTTTCAGGGTACAAACACTGTCAAGGGTCCGTCTTCTGTAACTTTTGTTAGGGAAAATAATTGTAACATACTCTATTCCCGTTGTAGTTTTATGTTGCATTCACCCCATAAACTCTATCTTGACTCTAGGCTTTTTATTGTGTTTTTCCAATAAAAGTTACTCTACATAAGGTTTGGTGATTTGGAGACCTCTCTGGTGGAAATATGTAATTGCACACAAAATAAGGTAGAACATTTTGTAGCCTAGGTTGTGCTTTGGAACCCTTCCCTGAACGGATGAATCTGATAATAGCGAGCATGTTGAAAGAGTTTTCGAAGGATGTGCCTTCCGGGAATGTGAGTGAATTATCTACACTCTCAGAAATAAAGGCATTAAACTGTCACTGGGGCAGTACCCCACTTGTCACTGGGGTGGTACCCTCAAGGGTACATCTCAGTACCTTTAGTCAGTTTATTGTTCTGTTTTAAACATTAGGTTGTGAAAAACACACGAAAAATACATACTTTTTACCTGGGAAAAACTTATTTAAGGTTCACAGTTGGACCTTAAAACCACTGTTGTACCTTTGAGAGTACATTTACATTGTTTGTACCTTGAAGCATGCAAAATGTACCTGCACAGTACCTTTATTTCTAACAGTATGCTACTGTCATCATATCTTCAGCAGAAGATGCATTTGAGGCCTAAACATCGAGCTGCACCTTCTTTTCGAGCCTGTGCTTGTGACAGTAATACGTAAAGATGTATGACGAAAAACTCTTTAGAAAACCGACCCAACACTTCAGACTAAAATTATCATATCAGGATTTACAGGGTGTCACACAGAAGTGCTGCATATTTTTTGCATGTTTTATTTTCTCCTGACTCAGTAATGCTACTTCTTTTAGTTTAAATAAAAAAACACAGAGTGCAGTTTTAACGTAGTTACAGTATTTTAAGTTGCATTTTGAAAAACTTGTGTGAGAAAGTGAAATGTAATGTACTGATAAAACCAATTTAAGGTACACAGTTAGATCATTAGGATATTGTTGCACCTTTGAAGGTACAATTACACCTTCAAATTAATTTGTAGCTTGGAGGACAAAAATGTATCTGTACAGTACCCCCATTTCTGATAGTAGAGGGATTGACAATGAGATTTTCTTTGTGCTGAGCGTCTCTGTCATATGTATCACTGTCATATTTATCATATTTGTCCCATTTGGGGTCATAAGCTGCTTCACAAAGCTAGCCAGCTAAAAGTGAGTAAATAATCAGAGCAAAGTCACTTTACATTCAGTTTCAAAGTCTGCTTTCTTTCGCCTAGAATTGACCACACCCTCAACAATGCCCCCTGACAACACCTGACAATTTGAGAGCCTGTGTACCTATGTCTTTACTTTTTTCAGTATTAAATACTCAACATTAAATACAGTTACTGTTAGCTTATAATTTGGTGACATGCCATACATTCAAAAGTCACCAAAATGCAGGAATCTAAGCCTCTGAAAGCCAAATGTTTGAAGAAAGCCCCCTTCCTCAGACCACGTTTTGAAAATCTCTTTCTGAGCTCTTGAAGGGACAAGTGGGCTGAGGTGCGCTCTGGATTTGTTAGCGAGGGCGCATGTGCCATCTAGTGTCGGTGGAGGAATAAATCACATCATTTTAGCAGAGCCGTCCTCACCACCACACTAAACCTCCTCAACTATTTTATTGGCCCTGGCTCTGATGTAGCAGAACTTATTTCAGCCTGTTATAACATTGTTTTGCAAATTAGTCAAATAAATAATTCTAAGCAGCCATCAAAAGTCACTCCTTTTTATATGCTTGAAATTGTAGGCAGTCATACTAATAACAGCAGTATTTATCCGCTCTTTGCTCGAGCTGCATATGGCCAGGAGTCAGACATGGGATCAATACCCATTACCAACAGTGGTGCTGCAGACAAGCCATTCATTTCCACAGCAAAGCAGTGCTACAAGCACTCCCCCCTCACACACATACAAATACACACACACACACACACACCTCCCTAAGGAGAGCCATTTCAGGACCCTGCATACCAAAGATCAGACACAGGCCTGCTCTGCTGCTGCAGATAACTCACATTCTCATGTGTTTTGGTAGTGTGGGTTCTATAGCCGTGCTATGTATGTGGTTTCTTTGTTTTTTGTAATGGAACATACATCCACTTTCAGCATATGCTGTGCACTAATGAATGGCCATTTGAGATTGTTGCACCATCTCAGCCTTTCTTCAGTCTGGTTAAAGCTTGAACCCATTTTCTTTACTCCACATCAGGATTTATTAACAGGACTGTAGTGTTCATATCACATTCAGAATAGATGGTGCCTGTTTTATTCTTAACATGGAACTGAGAATTGATCTGTCTATGCTTCACCCACAAATTCTTAGCAGTTGTTTTGAGGCTGGACAATTTTAAAGACTTTGCAAAAGTCCCATTCAACCAAATAAGAGATTATAGCGTAACACTGTCAAAACATGCAAATGATTCATTGGACAACTACAATGTACAGAAATTGCTGTATGTTGATTGTTGAATTAATGTTGAAAAATGCTACGTTACTGAGCTGTGCAATGTTGTTGTAGCTAATGAAACCTTTACACAACCAAAAAATCCTTTCTGTCCTAAGTGTGACCTTCCACACGCATCCAAAATTATGAATTATTAATTACGTTAGCTTGATTATACATATTCGTTAAACGCTGACTCGATTACACAACATAACTCACTCAGTCTATCCTAACAGTGTGATGTTTCACGTGTACAAAAAAATCATTTGAATTTAGCGTTAACTAAGTTAGTTCAGTTACTCAACTTTGTTAAACATTGGCTTGATTACACAACAAAAACCACTACAATTTCCCATGATTTTGATTGGGATTTTTGCTAACATTCCATAAAGCTTGTCCAACCTCTCAACAGTTGCTACAAAGAAATGTATTTGTGGGTGGAGCCTGGATAGACCAATTACTGTTCTGAGATTATTATTTTATTTTTGTTCTTGTAATTGTTTAAAGGTGTGAGTGTGGTTAGCTGACCACAGATTGGCCTCAGGGAGTATTAGCCTAGAGCGGAGTGAGGAGAGCATTCCCGCTATGGGAATCAGAATATGGGAATGCATGGTTAGACTGGGAGATAGGAGGGGCCTATTCAAGCAGAGCCAACACAAACAACTGTCTGCTGTGCTGGGAAACATGGGTCTGCTTCAAATCTTCTGTGGTTATTTACAGATATTTACGACCCTAGCAGCTGGGAGAAGAAGGCTACGCTACATCTTACAGGCATGCGAGGTGTTGTGTAAGGGCAAGAACAGGGCCATAAGCAACTCTTGTAATTGGTTACTGTCTTAGATTTAACTTGAGAGATATGAGAGTATGAGATAATTATGCTTAAATATAGTGGACACTGCATTGGGATTCTGCCATCCAAGCATGCCTATGTTAGTTTTTATCAGATGATTCCCTCTTGGAGTAATGATAACCAAGTTTGGAAATGGAATGTGACTTAACTCTCTCTCTCTCGCTCTCTCTCTCTCTCTCTCTCTCTCCAGCTCTCTCAGGACCAGAGTGTAGGGATGGTCCCACATCTTCAGGACCCTGGTGCAGGGCCTCGTCCAGGACCTGCCAGCAACTACAACATGCTGCTGAAGACTCAGCTAATGAGAAAACAGCTCCAGCAGCAGGTCAGGATGAAAGCCTCATCACTGGAACAAAAACAAAGGCTTACTACATTTGTAACCGCTGACTTTATTATTTTACTTCAAGGAGTGTTTGATAAATCATGTCCACCTGTTTTGGGGTGTGTTTGAGTATTGCATCACTCAGGAATCGTAAATAAAGGCATATTCTGAAAGAAGTTCTCCTCACTTCCAAAGATGGTGATGGCTGATAGGATTACTCAAGGGAAAACATGCATTTGGAAGAGTCTACTACTGAGTTTTTTTGCCATGACTGTCTTTTGCAGTCTTGATAATGATCGCTTTGTCTGCTGCGCTGATGTTTTTGGGCTGTGTTGGTAATATCTTATGTCTCGTGCAGGAAAAGCAAAGGCAGATGGAGCAAATGAATGGGGGACAGATGCCAGATTGCCAGCAGGTGGTGCCATTTCAAGGTAGTGATACTGTGCACTCACATTAACACAACTGTATGCTAATTACATTGTTTGCTTACAGTCATGTGTTTGAAATGGGAAAGAAGTCTGAGAAGTGGATATGTCACTTAATTTTTGAGTATGTATTGAGGTCAAAATCAAGGTCAGTTGTTTATTTAAATTTGTCACTTGAAATGAGAAAGGAATCCCTATAGTGGATGTGTCACTCAAGCCTCAAGCTTATTTTGAGGTCAAAATTAAGGACAGTTGTTTACTTCAATTTGGGCATTTGAAATGAGAAAGAAGTCCCAACAGTGGAAATATTAATCAGCTTCCAGGATGTTTTGAGATTAATGTTGTGATGATAACAAATTAATTTTGTTATGCTTTTTCATTTTCTCTCATAGGTCCAGGTCGAACAATACCTGAGTGTAGCGCTTACCCTATGAGCACCCCCCAGCAGCCCAACCCTTCCATGGTGGCCCACAGTGGCCCTTTACCATCGAACCGCGTGGGTCTTCCTCCTGGATCCCTCTCCCAAGTGGGCCATGCTGGACCTTACATGGGTGGGACTGGCTCCAAGCCACCATTCTACCATCCTTCACAAGACTTGGGGATGACCATGCATCCAAGCCAGAGCATGATGGGAGTGGGTGGTCCTCCAAGGCAGCCTTCCCACCCGGGACATGTTGTAGCACGGCCAGGGATGGCTGGACCAAACTTGGTGGGGGCTCCAGTGCCAACCAACCACCTTCGGCAGGCGTTGCATCAGGGTAGTGCTCTACCTCCACGTATGATGTTCACCTCTCAACAACAGCCACAGTCACAGGCCTCGTTGTGGCAGAACCAACAGGGAACACATCCACACATGGAACCTTTGAACCACCAGCACTCATTCCCCAGTGGGGCGGCTCCTCCAGGGTGTGGGGCACCTCAGTTCCCTCAGCGTCCGGGCATGGCAGGGATTTCAGCTAATTTTCCTGGTGCCCGACCTCCACCAAACCAGATATCTCCAGGCTTGGTTGGCAGACAGATCCAAAAGTTACCCTCTGGGCAACCTCTTCCTTCCATGGCCCAGCAGAACCTGAGAATGCGAGGTGCCCTGTCCACCATGGGAGTCATGAAGGGTCCTGGAGCTCCAGCCATGATGCACACATCTCATGGCATGGCGCCCCCAAGCTACCCTGTTGCCTCAGTGGGCAAGCATACCCCTGCCCAGGGGTACAACCCTGGACACAATCCAGGTCATAAACTGCCCCCTTATGACTATCCTCCCCAGCACCAGAGCAATGGAACTATGATTGTAGGGCCTCAAGGACCTGTCGGTGGTGGAGGAGGTGGAGGAGGAAGAGGCGAGATTGACTTCATAGACACTTTAGTGGGTTCCAATGATGACTGGCTCAACAATCTCAACATGATTGATGAATACCTTGAACATAACTCATAGAGAAGGCCAGGAAGTCATGTAAAGTGAGACAGCTGGGAACTCGTGGTTCCAGAAAGTTCCAAACCCAGCCTGTCCTGGCTATACTGTAGTAAGGAGACAGAGTGGGTCGGAATCATACACTGCCACATGGTCTCTAAAGGCTCTGCTCCCTCAGATCTGTGCTGGCCCTTTAAGATCTTGCAGAAATGTGTAGAGTCACCAAGCAGTGCCACAGAAATGCATTCAAATAATTGTCAGCACCTGGTAAGCTGTCTGGGAAGTCCTTAAATGTTCTCGTGTCAACGACTGCTCAAAGGCTTCTCTCTGAACGCTCTGTTTTTGAGAACAGTCTTAATAATGTGGCTCCACCAGGCTTGAACACTGTGTAATGAGCTGAGATCAGTGTTATCATAGCAAAACAAATGAGGGCATTCATTCATGAAATGTAATAACCTGATGCATTTCACTCGGTAGCATCACATCAAGAATAGCAAGCATATAGTGGCCTGGTGGCCTGATTGTCACTGTGGAAACAAACACGCTGTTGTAATTTCGCTCATGAGCTGTTTTGACATTGGTATTTCAAAAGGGGCTTAATAATGTACATGGTAAACTATTTTGTAAAATATGTTTTCATAAACTGTAACATATATAAAAGAGAAGTACCCATATTTATACTTCTTTTGTGCAAATACATTCTTTAGATTTCCCTTGTAAATAATTATGAAAATGACTAGTATATCAAAGAAGAAAAAACAATGCTGTAAAAATAAACAAAATTCAGTTGAACTTGGAAACTCTATTGTAATTTGTAATATGCAAGACAGTATGGTTAGTTTTTGCAGTAATACTATGTATTACAATGTTGAAATATTTGTTATGGTTTTGACATAACTGGACTCCTGGTACTCCAATCTGGCCCACGTTTGTGTATAGTGGTCAGTTTTCGACCCAACTTGCACTACAAAAGTTCAATGGTCCCCTAATTGTGTTTTTTTTTTTCTTTTTTATATTTCCAATGCATTTTGCACTAGACATCACTATCTGTTCTATGTGGGGACATTTGCATGGGAAAGGGGTCACATGAGGATTTAAAATCTTTAGAGGCAAGTACCTACACATCACCCATTTCTACATTTAAATGTCTGTGTAGACTTTACACTGAAACTATAGCATCAATTTGGCATTTAAAAAAACTGTAATGCCATCCATTAAGTAATATGGTGTCACAATCTTCTCTTAACTGCATACAGTACTCCCAAGTCTTTTTGTGCCAGAGTCCTGGGTTTCCCTTTGTTCATGATCTCTTAGCTAAGGGCATGAAATTTTAAGCCATTCTAATTTGTGCTTTCTCTGTGATTATTCTATTTTGTCTCGTTATTTTTTAGATTGGACAATAAACTGTATAAATGCAAAAACACTGTGTTTGTGGATGATTGGTCTTAATTCCTTCTGTTTCTTACTTTTGTATGTATTTTCACTCTAGGGTGGCCACCTCAGGCCTGTAAAATCCCTGGAGCCTCAATCAATGGCTTTATTTTTTAAATGAATTGGACAGATAGCTATGCTCACAATGTAATCTAAGGTATTTACAGTATGCAAAAGTTTGGGCACTGCTGGTCAAATGACATGTTTTGTTTATTTTCTCCTCTACATTGAATGCACGTCTGCACATATTACTACACAATTTACTGTTTATGCTGAATTAAACATGGAAAAAATAGATGTGGCCTGTATAAACGTTATGGCACATTTTAGATTTTGTTTTAGTTTGTTCAAGTCAGTATGTCAATAGCAATTGTGCACTAAAATTTGCAGTAAAAAATGCCACATTTAGGTTTGTTCCCTGTAGAGGATGTTTTCCCTTATTTAGCAACAAAGCATTTAATTTGACCATTGTATATTGTACTACAGTGCTGCCTAGTACCTAAACATATAACCAACAGCAAACCGTTCTAAAATAATTGTCCCTATGTTGATGGTAATCTGAAACAATCAAGCACATTCTTTGTTTATGGATGTTTTTTTGATAAAAAAGAGGCAGTTTGAACTTCATAAGTAATGCCAACGTTTGAAAATCCTGGAATTCCAGGACATTTTTGTGTTCAGGAATGAAATTAATTTTTTCCAGGACAGACAACCAAAATCCAGGACCATCCAGGAAAATCCAGAACAGGGCAATCCTGTTCAACACATCCTGTTTTGTCGTAAAGCTGTTGCTTAGCATTTTGCTTGCTAAGCCTCCTCCATTCTCCACCCCTTGGCTGTGACATTCAAATAGCAATGTAAAATTCCTGAAATGAAGTTGTTGTAAGTTAGAGCATCTCACCTGCTTTGATGACTTCAGTTTAGCATGCTAGCTAGTAGAAGCTTAGTTTGCTACTTGAGTTTAGCAATTTACTGGAGGTTATTGTTTGCACAGCACCCAAAGTACAGGCAAAAGAATGGGTAGCAGCATAGTGCCTGTAGATTAGATTAGATTAAATTAAATTACATTAGATCCTACATTAGATTGTCCTCAAAGAGAAAATCTGTTTTCAGTCTGTGCCATTTGTACATAAGTACAAGCAACCCCCACCCATAAAGCATCAACATCAGGCCTGTGTATCTGTTACTTCCTTTAAAAGCAGTCATTGTGGAACATTCATTTCAGCAGGGTAACTTGCTCTGTATCTCTGGCCTGTTAGAAAGTAAGGCGAAGAAAGAGTGTAGTGGATGATCAGGGTCTTGTACTATTGTAAGAGCCTGTCTTAAAATAGCTTAATTCTTTAGGCTTGACAAGTTGTATCTGGGGAGGTCTTCTTCTATCTTTGAGGCAATATGTGTGATGCGTGACAGTTTGTTGGTATTTAACACTTAACATAGTACAAAAAAAATGGAACAGAACAGCCTGATAGGTTGATTATGCTTCTATAGATGAGCAGGAGTAATAAAGGTGCTACATGTAGTACCTTTAACTTTCTAATGACAGAAAGTCTCTGCTGACATCTGATGTAATGGTCCATTACATGCTGGTCAGAGCTGATTTTATTGTCCAGATTGAGTCCAAGTCTACAACCTCCACATCTTCCCCCCCGACAGTAACTTTGGTGAGCCAGTGATCATCTCCTTTGTCTTTGAGCCGTCTAACTGCAGATGATTATCTCTATGCCTTTGTGTTAGATGGGAGATGAAATACTGATAAGCCGCAATTGAATCTTTGTCTTGAAGAAGTCCAAGTATAAGTGTTCGTCTGAATATTTTAGATATGTGAAGACCTGAAACCTAAAACCTAGTGCACAGTCTACTGTCAGTGCATGCAAAACACTCTCATAGCCCCTAGCGTAAGTTAGCCTCATTTTAAGTGGGGTGTTTTCCAAACAGTGTTTTAAACTGTTCTATAGGCATTTCTTTTCCATTAAAGACAATGGGGGTTCAAAATGATTGCTCATGATTCTGTGTGCCTGAATTCACTCTTTTATTTAACTCCAAATAAGTGATGACCCAGCAGCAACATCTTATCACTTCCCCAGAAGCCATTGCTGAGAGACTGCATTAAAATAACATCAGCGCTTTGGTCTGTGGTTTACAATGAGCCTCCAATAAACCTGCAGAAAGCAGAAGCAGCCTGGCAGCTGGCCGATGCTTCTCTAATAATCTCTGCTGTTTTCATGTTGGCCACAGATCTCTATTCTATAAGCTAGCACTCCAATAATACCATTTAAGGCAAAATCTGTCTATATCGTACAGTTCTGAAGGGTAAACACTAGAGATGCAAGCAATGCATGAGCTTTACAACCAAGTTAAAATATTTACTTAATTTAATGTGCTACTCCTGTTAGAAATAAAGACAAATGGAGTCTTGTGACTAGATATAACTGACTATTTTGAGAAGACATAGCAGCACATTTTAGATTGAATCACACCTAATACAGCTAATGCACACCCCATCGGCAGAACACCACCATCTTCATTTGCCACCTCATTCTTCTCCTCATTTATCCATTGCAAATCAATATTCCATGGTCCATGCATTGGGTACAGGACATCAAACGCATAGATAATCTTATACCACAATGGAATGAAACTGAATATTTATGCTTCGCTGAGCTCTGTTTACTTGGTAACTTGAACTCTGCGTCACTTAGTCTCGTGTATGTAAATAGATATTTTTTTTATAGAACACATAGGAAGTGCGCAGGAACTGACAGTTAATGAGAGCTTCCCTTACAGCAGCGAGATTTTGACTGCTCCTGTTCGTCTCAGTTCTGTGTTTGTTGGTGTTGTCTGTTTCATTTTGAGGTCAAAATTGCGGTTTTGCTTCTACATTGCCTCATGCTAGAATGGTGCACCTGCATTTGTTCCCACGTATTCAAAAGTTACAAGAACCAATCATAAAAATAACAGTGAAAGTGGAAAAGTACCGTAATTTACACACGCAATGCATTTACTGGACTCAAACAAGCCAAAGGTGATCCTTTTGTTATGCTATGGCTAAGAGAGGAAGTCAGTGGTGATAATGACCCAGCCAAGTAACACCATCCAAAAATATCCTATGATTTTGTATAGGCATATTGGGTAGCATTTTTACAAGTAAGATCACAACAAGCTGAACTGTTCTCTGGAAAGTACCAGTGAACATAGTAGCTTGAGGGTGTTGCCTCGGTCTTGTGTTTTTTCAGGAAATACAAAATGCTTCTTTGACCGGACACATTTTTGAACAGCAGCTGTGTGCAACTCACTGTCAAAAGCGCTGCCTATGTTTCATCTCTAAAGGACTCTCTCTCTCTGAGACCAGCTTACTGACCGTGATATCAAACTCACCACTTTCTCTGTGTGTGTGTGTGTGTTAATGTGGTGTACTCTCCACCCTAAGCTATATTTCCCACACACTGCAATAGGGTTCATAAGGATGTGCTGTGTGTAAAGGGCTTTAATGATAACCAGCTGGCTAACATCTGAAAGACATAAACTAACACAGTGGTATAGAAAGGCCAGGCTGTGTTGTCCGGTCAGTTAGAAAAGCTCAGACTGCTTGGTTGCTTAAGTCTGGTCTCTGTTTAGCTATTTTTGAGCATAGACTGCTGAGAATGGGCACTGATGGATGTAGTAGGCCTATGTCCACCAGCATATCTTGTGACTGTCCTGCTATTTCTAAATTCAACCATTCTACTTTATTATAACATAAATAAGAAAATATGAACATGTTTATTCAAGTTTATGGCACCAGCAGGTCTAATTATGGTGCTAACAGGTCTGTGGCACTAACAGATTTATGGCGTTAAAAGGTCTATGGCACTAATAGGTCTATGACGCTAATAGGTCTATGACACCAACAGTTCAGTGACACTAACAGTTCTGTGACACTAACAGTTCTGTGACACTAGTAGAAATATGGCCCTAACAATTCTATGACACTAATAAGTCTATGGCCCTAAAGGGTTTATGACAGTTATAAGCATTACCAGTTCTGTGACAATTATAGTTCTATGGCACTAATAGGTCTATGACAGTAATAGGTCTATGGTTCTAATGGTTCTATGACACTAATAGAACTATGACACTACTAGGTCTGTGGCTCTTATGGTTTTGTTACACTTATAGGTCTATGACACCAATAGGTCTGTGGTTCTAATGGTTCTGTTACACTTATTGGTCTATGACACTAATAGGTATGTGGTTTTAATGGTTCTGTTACACTTATTGGCCCATGACACTAATAAATCTGTGGCTCTAAAGGTTCTGTTACACTTATTGGTCTATGACACTAATGGGTCTGTGGCTCTGAAGGTTCTATTACACTTATATGTCTACTACACTAATAGGTCTATGACACTAATAGGTCTGTGGCTCTAATGGTTCTATTACACTTATTGGTCTATGACACTAATAAGTCTATGGCTCTTAAGGTTCTGTTACACTTATAGGTCTATGACA